TTCGTAGTATGGATATTCTTTTTTTCTATTAGTAATTTTCATATACAATAAAAACAATTAGCTGGATAACCAAACAATGTATCATGGCTAATATCCATCTACTAAAGGATATTATACATATGTTGACCTATGCTTATTTTAGGTTACAGATGCAAAAAAAATATTCGTATTTATAACAATGAAAATAAATAAAATACTTAATAAAACTACTTCTGTGATTGGTAGTTAAATAGATGATTGTTCTAATGTGCCAGTAGATTAAATTAGTTAAATTTCTCGTTCCTCACAAATTACATTTCGATGTAAGGTGATGTTTAAAGATGATAATAAAATATGAAAAAATGCATATAAAATATCTTGTTTGAATAGTTTTTGTTATAGATCTCAGTGATGGATACTTCGATTATAATCGAAACATCTTTCATTGGAATGCTGCAATCATTTCTTTTTGAGATATTTGTAATAAATACAAGATTATCAAATGCCTATTATTTGCCACAAATTGTAGTTCCTAAATTGATTCCTACTTGGTCATCAGAATATACCGTAGAATTTCACGTATCCACAAATAGGGATTTATTTTAGAGACTGATTCAGAAAACTACATTTCTGACAAATGATAACCGGCCAATTTATATTTATTCTTGATTGCAAAGTCAATGGAAATAAATTATCATACCAAAAGAATTTATTTACATCTTGATCATCGATTCGACATTTGACCTTTTCCGCTCTTCCTTGTTTGCGAGCGAGCTTGAGTCTAGTCTTGGTTTCATAAGGACTGTTGAAGCTATTAGTTTCAAGATTCCACTAGTCAAGACAACTACAGATGGGTGTGAATTTGATGAGGATGTGGATGGATAGCTATTGGTGTGAGAATGTTTGTTTCTTGAATAAACATCTACACCCTCAAAATTTGTTGGTTGCAATTAATGTTTGAAATACCAACTATATCAATCGAAAATAAAATGTATAAAAGATCTGTTGATAAATCTTAAATGATATTTCTTCTTTTAAATGAAATAGTAGAGTTGTTAAATAAATGTTGTTTTTTTTTTATCTGTTCTCTTCTTTTCTATTAAACACGTCAAATGTTGAAATCATACACCCATTTACTACTTATTCATATATGAAGTTAATTTTTATATTTCATTAAAGAAAAAACATGCACATTATTTTCCGTTTTGTTTTTTTGATTGTGAAAAACTTAATTTTTTGTGTATTTGATAAACTTTACTAAAAAGAGAAAAAAATGGAGAAAACAATTCATTTTAGAGTTTGATTGAAAATACTCATTCAAAGTGTAGTTTTACAATCAATAAATCGAATAGCAACTAAGTCAAGAACATTATTTTCTCTGTCATATTTATCAATAACCCATGAGCTATATTATTAGAAGCATAATAACTTACTTCATTAGATAATCAAAATTAGTAAATTATAAACATTAAAAAAAAACATTATATCTCTTTTTTACATATCTAGCATCAACTCAGCCAAAACTTGTATCAACAAGTAAATGATTTAATCATAAGAGAAAACAAATAATCTATTGTCTTTATGATTTAGATAAACGATATATTAATTCATCTTGATTTAATCGATTAGAACCATTCACTACATATTTAGTTGCCAATGATTATTGAGTGCAAGTCAATAATATTTTTCATTTATTCAATTTAGAAAATAAAAAACTCTACTGTTTCAGCTCTGTGAAGTATCTAATTATATCCATAAATGTGTCATATTTCGAAAGCAAGATCATCAAATTCTTAAAGTGATACGTTTACCTGACTTTTTAATTGATAGTGAACCAATTTTTTGTTCATTTGATAAAACAAATGAAGATTCTTTCAGATGTAAATACTTTTCAATGAAAAAAGATAGAGTATTGTTTTCTTTATGTAATGATAAGGTTGAAAACCAAAAACAGTATTTCACTAAATAATTCACAAATTTCTTCAATATCATTTCTAGCAGCAAGTACATCCCTTTCAACATCAAACACGTCAACAACAAGAAGAATAGTTAATGTTATACGATCAGATATATCTTCTATTACATCTTTTAATCAAACACCAAGTAATAATATTACTATTTACAACAAAGATGGTTTTGTTAAATTTGAAAATCATCGAAAATTTACAATCGATCCGAATGAATGGACGATTTCTCAAGTTGGAAAATTTATTCGACATTTAACAAATGATTTCATTGCAAGAGCTTTTTTAGAAATTGATATTGATGGAAAAGCTTTATTATTATTAATAAAAGGTGACTTATTGTATAAAATGAGAATTAAATTAGTTTCATCAAAAGAAAAAAAAAAACTATTAAATGAAATAACAAATTTACATAAACATTTTTTTATAATGTTCTTCATTTTGTACAATTTTTTTTTGTTTATTAAGTACAAATAAAAGGAAAATCTCTAACTTATTTAAAAGGGTATTGAAATAGAAAATGTTAAAAGGTTTACTTGCTAAAAGATTGAATATGCATATTGTGGTTACTTCAATAGAAACAAATGATTAAATCACTAAAATATTTTTATCATCACATCTTTTCACCATTATGAATAGGAAAAATGATATGAAAAAAATCACAATGTATTCTAAAATATCTGCTAATTAAAGGTATGTTTAATCATGAAATGATATAACTTGAGTTATTATTGTGATTTATGATTTCAAGATCAACCGGAAACACTAGTGGAATGAATTCAAATTCTGAGATTTTGCTTTCTCATAGAAAATAACAAATTTCAGTTTCATTCAAAGAGAATTATTGTTTAGAATAATTATATTCATTTTCTTCTTGATCTAAAATCACTCGTGAAAGCGTTATTAAATAAAAACCTTTAGTTCCAATTTAAATCAAATTAATCAATTATTTATATGTGTTTAAAGGAGAAATATTTTAGATAATGAATTATGGTATAAGAATACAAAAGCATTTGGGATGTAATTATATATATTGGGAGAAGATCTATTTTGCTTAAGTTTTGTTCAAAGAGAAATTACGAATATTTTAATTTTTGAAGATTAATTCTTCAATGAATTGATTCATAATTTCATTAATATTTTGAAATTACATTGGTTTAAATGAATAAAGTCAATAAACTATGATTAATGATAGGAATAAGTTTAGTTGACATGTTCTTTTATTTATTTATGCTTGTTGTCAAGCCACAAGTACACTGCTCTGACTGAATCACAGCATTTACAATTACAAAAAATAACCCCAATCTAACCTATATTCATAATCTCTGTTCATGTCCTGGAGCCACGCATTGATGTTATGCGCGAAATTCTCTCCATCATAGAGCGGTCGAAATGTGACATGTGATAAATGTTTGCTTTGTTCCAGTATTATTGTGGCATCGTCCAAGTCTTGAATTTCAATATCAAGTTGCTTGATATGGTGAGGTAATTTCAAACCGATAGTATTGAAAGTTATTAACATCATTTTCTCAGAATCATGACGAGTAAACAATGTCATTCCATCATAATTATTACAAATTATTCATATTGAACGAAGATTCAATGCTCGCTTATACAGAACATCCATTTCAACATCAAAACTTACAGCAAAGTTGCATTCATATTGGAAATTCAAGCATATTGTTTGAAGTTTCGATAGATTAATAATTGTTGAAAGATGTTCAATTGAGTTGATAAATCATTCTTGAGTAATCATCAGTGTAAGTTCTATAACATATTGAAATATATAC